ATTTTTTATAATAAAAGTTTTTTAGTTTTTTCAATTTATCCTTATCCCAAAAGTCAGTTTCATAATGGCAACAATTGACTTAAGCCTTGGTTTTAGCCGGATATTCAGTTTTAACTCCTGACCATTTGGCATTCTGTCAGAATGTGTAATGGGTACCGCTCTGCCTTTTATGCCCCGTTTGCCATCTCAGCATTCATTTTCCTCACTCCCTTCTCTTTATCCCTAAAAAACATATCCCTAAGTTGAAGCCTTTCCCTTCTCCCATGCTGTTCATAAGACTCAGAAGAGGCAGTTCCTACCCTCAGCTTCAAGGATGTACCTGATTGGTCTTAGAGAAATCCCATCCCTCTTGCCAGTGATGGATTCAGAAATTAACATATTACCTAATTCTAGCCAATAAGATGTGAAAGGGGATTTACTGAAGGTTTGGTAAAATTTTTTTTCTTCTGTTTTAAAAGAAAGCCAATGGAGGTCTTTCTCTCTGCCATTAGATGCAAAAAGGAAAGTAGAACCAACTGCTACCAGCTGCCATCCCATTGACGTGAAAGAAACTTGACTTAAGGTGAAATTGACATGGCCGATAAATGGTTCAGCAGAATAGGATGCCCAGAATTCTGAAGGACACAGTGAGCCATCGGGTGAACCACCTCAGAAATCTGCCCTATCATTGTTCTTTCATTCGTGTGAGCTAATGTACTTCCTTAAACAATACACAGATATTAAGATACTTGTGGCTGAACACATTCTGTTTGATATAAACCCATTATTTTTGCTGGTCAGAATGAAATTTTGGACTGAGTCCCATCATTTGTTCCCATACATTAAAACATTTGAAATTATCAGCAAAACAAATCAAAAATGTATCTGATGCTTTCTCTGGTTTTAGCAAGATGGGATCTAGCAGACATCTGGATTGCCAGAATCTGCCATCAGTATTTAATCTTGGTCTCGCCAATTAGATGATCTGATTCAATAGAGCAAATTAGTCACTCAGGGTGATAGGCTTGGCCTAAAGGTGCTTTGAGTTTCAGAAGTTTACTTTATCTTCACCTTGGTGAAACCGTTGTTTGCACTATGGTGCAAGTCCTTGTGGCTCTGATTCCAATGATGTCTTTGTGTAGCTTAAATAGTTGTATGAGGTGATGCTGACTTATCTACTTTCAGATCCAAAAACATTATGTCTTTTCTTATAATACATGCAAAATCAGCTTTTATTTTCTGATTAAATTTGAAGCAAACATATTTTTTTATGATTGAAAGAATTTTTGGTTCTTTTGTTTCTTTTCCTATGTTTTTTTTGCCACCTCTCTCTCTAGTTTATTTCATAAATCAAATAGCTACAGATTTTCTGCTGTGTCAGACATTCAGTGGGTGAAGGAAATCAACATGAATATGACCCATAACCAGCCCTCAAAACTCTTGTGCCTAGAGGAAAGTCAGACATGCCATGTGAAAGCACAGTGAAGGGGTATAAGCCACATGCTGCAGAGGAGAGAGCAAGTAATTCTTCCTGACCTCATGGGATACACATTCCATAAGTCCCTTCATTCTTGCTTTAATATCTTTTTTTATTTTGACTGAGGTTTTATTTAAATACTGTCCATCTTCCCACACCATATCCATTAAACTGAGCTTGGTTTCTTTTAGACAATATCAAAAGTAAGAATGCCTGGGTGGCTAAGTCGGTTTAGCATCCAACTCTTGATTTCAGCTCAGGTCATGATCTGAGGGTCATGAGATTTAGCCCATGTGGGATCCAAGCTGGGTACGAGCCTGCTTAAGATTCTCTCTCCCTCTCCCTCTGACCTTCCCTCCCCCCCCGGTGGGTTCTCTCTCTCTCTCTCCAAAAAAAAAAAAAAAAATAGACTCCTACAAAAATGACATGAACACTTAATAAGGATTGCAATTGTATCTTGAAAAAGACGTTCCTTGCTCCCTTTGGCCTTCTTCCAGAGGTTGGGAGTTGCGGGGGTTTGTAGGAGAGTAGAAAGGGGTCTGAGAACTGTGAAACTATTAATCCTTTGTGTTTCCTGGACTAGTCTCATAGAAATGTCCCTCTCTGCTTTATGGACATGCTCATGTTCTGTCCCTTTTTCCTTCTTGAAGATGAAAACTGTGAGAAGCCAGTCTATCCTCTCTCTTAATATAGGTAAAACCAGCATCCGATTTTCTTCTGCCCTGTTTTCAAAGATTCAGCCGCTGAAATAATAAAGATACAATATCCCACTTCCTGCTTTATATAAAAATGTATGAAAGCAAGTTACTTTTCCTGGTAAAATCTTATTCTGATAGTCTTAATGGAGTGATGAGTCTTATTTTAAAAAGGACCATATATATCTTGTCCTAGTCAATGGGGCCCAGCCTCCAGAGTCCTTTGAGCTTTAACATTAACTCATTCTTACTAGCTCTTTTAAAATGAGTTCTGTGCTTCGGGATGTTGCTTCACTTTCTATTATGTGTACCTGTCCTTAATTGCAGTAACATTTTCCCAGCTGCCTTAGCCAGGAATGACCAGTCTGCCCAGTACACGATCTTTGCTAGCCAGTAGTGTTGGCGCCCACCTCACACGACAGGACCCTTTCCCTACTCTGGAAAGGTGTGATAGTCTGGTGATCAGGCGTAAGCAAGCATATAGCAAGCAGGAAGGAGTGACCATGGGTTGCAAACTGCTCTGGTGGATATAGAAGACCAGATCTGGGGATCTGGATGCTGGAGAGAGTATCATAGTTTCTGACCTCCAGGGACTAAGATGACCCTCTGGACTGATAAATCACGCATTCTCCTAACTGCACAGAGGAAGAGAGGGGAAAAAAAGCACACAACTAACATTAATGAATCCTACACTTTGTGACAAGCACAGTGTTAGCCTTTTTCATGTACTTATTAATTTTCAAGAGGTCCAAGGGCACTAAAATGCCTCCTAGATAGTGACTGGCAGAGCTGGGAACTGACCCAGAACCATCTGACACCAAACTTACCTATAAGTTGGCTTTCATAAAGCACTCCTCTCTCTCTGTTTATCCTTTTCTTGAACCTCAGGCAGCCGTGTTTATCCAGACCCTGCAAGTGTAAAATTGATGACATAATCATGTGATGGTGTCTATGGGACTATTACAGGAGGATTAGGCTATTATCAACAAATCGAGGACTGGTATTGTTTTATCAGCATGAGAGTGTTTTCAATTAATTTGTAATTAAATAAAGGAAGCAATTTACTGGGTCTTGGAGAAGTCAGAGCCGGGGAAGGCTTATCTCATCAGTCTCAGCTGTGCATTCCTCCTGCACCGCCTCATTGTTTAGATCACAGTGGTGATACATGATCTGACCTATAGGAGTAATTCAATAAAACATCAATATTTTCCTTCCTCCTTAACCCATGGTGCTGCAGCGACTGGAGAAATCTGCCTAGAGTGGCCTCCACCATGAGCCCATCGAGAACGATACCTTTGTCCTTACTGTTCCCTCAGCTATTCCTGCCAACAGCCTGACCTTGTCAAAAATGACCACACTAGTTTTGTCTAGGTGGGAGACAAGTGGACTTCACGGGTCCAAAAGTACTTTAAATGTCTTTGCATCTACATTTCCTGGGCACTGTGTTGACCTCTTTACAACTAGGGTCTGATGTAATCCCCTCCTAATCATCTTGCAAAGTGGGTACCGTTATCTCTGTTTTATTGGATGAGTAGATTTGGCTTAGTATGTGGCGGAGCCAGGAACAGTACCTAGTTCTGCAGAATTCACAGGGCCCAGAGCTTTTCCATTCACACTGCTCAGCCCAGGCTTATGCAAACTGTGAAAGGTAGCCACATAGCCACATAGCCAGAGGATATCGTAGTCATTTCTTTATAGGTTTTTCTTTTATTCGTGGTATCTTTTTTTAAGTTTTTTTTTATTTAAATTCCTGTTAGTTAACTTACAGTATAATATTAGATTCAGGTGTACAATATAGTAATCAGCACTTCCATACAATATCCCGTGCTCATCACAAGTGCACTCCTTAATCCTCATCACTTGTTTGACCCATCCCCCTACTCACCTCCTCTCTGGTAACCATCAGTTTGTTCTCTGTAGTTAAGAATATGTTTCTTGGTTTGCCTCTCTCTCTTTTTTTCCCCTTTGTTCATTTGTTTTGTTTCTTAAATTCCACATATGAGTGAAATCATATGGTATTTGTCTTTCTCTGACTGACTGACTTCACTTAGCATAATACTCTCCAGTTCCATTCATGTTGTTGCAAATGGCAAGATTTCATTCTTTTTTATGGCTGGGTAATATTCCATTGTATATATACATATACATATACAACCACATCTTCCTTATCCATTCATCAGTAGATGGACACTTGGGCTATTTTCATGATTTGGCTATTATAGATAATGCTGCTATAAACATCAGGGTGCATGTTTTGAATTAGCATTTTTGTTTTCTTTGGGTAAATACCTAGTAGGGCAATAGCTGGATCATAGGGTAGTTCTTTTTTTAGCTTCTTAAGGAACCTCCATACTATTTTCCAGAGTGGCTGCACAATTGTGTTCCCACCAGTAGTGCAAGAGGGTTTCCCTTTCTCCACATGCTTGCCAACACTTGTTTCTTGTGTTGATTTTAGCCATTCTGACAGGTGTGAGGTGATATCTTATTGTAGTTTTGATTTGCATTTCCTGATGTTGAGCATCTTTTCATGTGCCAGTTGGCTATTTATATGTCTTCTTTGGAAAAATGTCTATTTATGTCGTCTGCCCATTTTTTTCCCATTTCATGGAAATTTTTACTCCGAAAATTTTAACAATGCAGACATTACATTCAAATGACTTATCTAGTTTTCATCAATTAACATTAGCAATTATGAAATTACTTTGAATACTTTTTTTCCATCTTATCCATCTTATTCAAAAATTCATGGAGGGCAAGTTAACATATGCCTTTCCCGATTAAAGTAATATTTTTCTTTTATTAGTACTAAAGTAACAGAAAAGAAGTAGTTAAATTTCCTCTTTGACAAAAAATTGGTACAGAACTTATTTTTAATATCTGCTATGGCCTCCTCTTTCAGATCGGTTTCCCCCACGACCTCCTCCGGAAGCCCCACAACTTGAGCTACAATATGATCCACGAGAAGGGTACGGCCTATCCATAGAGGGTGGAAACCCTCGTTCTTGTCTGCCACCATGCTCACGACTTATGTAGAGATCACTCCGGCTGCTTGAGTAACTTTCCCGACCTCCACCATATCCATCACGTGTACTGCTATAATCATCATAGCGACTGCTTCCATCATAACTCAGAGGGGGCCCACGTGCTAGCTGTGCACCACGGGAGCTACCATAACTCTCATATGATTCTCTGTAAGAGCCTCCACTTGAATGTTCAGAATAATCTCTATCACAACCACCACCATAGCCATCACGATCACTATATCCTCTAGAGTACTGTTCATCCCGAGAACTCAAATGGCCATAGTCACGGTATGCATAGTCTCTAGATGGTGGAACATAATCCTTGGTGTCTTGGGAACTTGGGTAATCTCTGCTCAAATAACTGTCTTTGGTATTGTAACCATCATCTCTTGGTGAAATATAGTCATCTCTCTGGGAAGACACTGGCTCTTTGTGCGAAGGACCTCTATAATTTTCTCTCCCACCTGATGGTGGCCCTCTTCCTCCAATCCCTTTATTGCTATGCCCGGGAGCAGAAGGAGCAGATCTTTTAGGAGGAGGACTTCCACTTCTGGAAGATGGGCCTCTTTTAACTGGAAAGGGCCCCCTGGAAGAACTCATGTTGAGGGTAAGAGTATATTCTCCATCATCCAAGTGTCCTCCATGTGAGGAATGCCCCCTTGCTCCTCCACTTCCTCCTCTTCCACATCTCACACTTCTTGGATGGCCTCTGTGTCTTGGATGAGGTGGTGGCTTCCATCTTCCACCACTTTCAAAAGATGGTTTGTTGGCTTGCTCCACTTTAATTGCTTTTTCATCCAAAGACTTCCCATTCATATCCTTGGCAGCATCTTTAGCATCAGCTGGGCTCTCAAATGTAATAAAAGCAAAGCCTCTGGACTTGTTTGTTTCTCGATCCTTCATCAAAAGAACTTCCACTATGTGACCATATTTCCCAAATACTGCTTCAAGAGTCTTTTCGTTAGTCTCGATATTGAGGCCTCCTATAAACAGCTTCGCAGGTCTATCTGCTTCCACCATTTTGCTGTTAACTGCTTTTTTATCTCCAGTTTTCCTAATGTCTTGCCTTAACCCTCCACTAAGCGACCACCAGCTCATCTTCTTTTGCCCATTTTTAAATTGGATTATTAATTTTAAGGTGAGTTTTAGAAGTTCTTTATATATTTTAGATACTATCCCTTTATCAAATATGTCATTTGCAAATATCTTCCTCTATTCCGAAGGTTACCTTTTAGTTTTGTTCATTGTTTCCTTCACGGTGCAGAACCTTTTTATTTTGATGTAGTCCCAATAGTTTATTTTTGCTTGTTTCCCTTCCCTCCGGAGACATATCTAGAAAGATGTTGCTACAGCTGATGTCAAAGAAATTACTGCCTGTGTTCTCTTCTAGGAGTTTTATGGTTTCAGGACTCACATTTAGGTCTTTAATCAATTTTGAATTTATTTTTTGTGTGTGGTGTAAGAAAGTGGTTGAGTTTCATTCTTCTGCATGTTACTGTCCAGGTTTCCCAACACCATTTGTCGAAGAGACTGTCTTTTTCCCATTGGATAGTCTTTCTTGCAGATGAAATGATACTTTATATAGAAAACCCAAAAGACTCTACCAAAAAAAAAAAAAAACAAACTGCTAGAACTGATAAAGGGATTCAGTAAAGTCGCAGGATACAAAATCAACATACAGAAATCTGTTGCATCTCTATACACCAATTATGAAGCAGCAGAAAGAGAAATTAAGGCAATAGTCCCATTTACAATTGCACCAAAAACAGTAAGATTCCTAGGAATAAACCTAACCAAAGAGGTGAAAGATCTGTACTCTGAAAACCATAAAACACTGATGAAGGAAATTGAAGATAACACAAAGAAATAGAAAGACATTCCATGCTCATGGATTGGAAGAACAAATATTGTTAAAATGTCTATGCTACACAAAGCAATCTACATTTAATGCAATCCCATCAAAATACCACCAGCATTTTTCACAGAGCTAGAACAAACAATCCTAAAATTTGTATGGAACCACAAAAGACTCCAAATCACCAAAGCAACCTTAAAAATGAAAAGCAAAGCTGGAGACATCACAACTCCGTACTTCAAGTTATATTACAAAGCTGCAGTAAACAGAATAGCATGGTACTGGCACAAAAATAGACACATAGATCAATGGAACAGAACAGAAAACCCAAAAATGAACCCACAACTTTATGGTCAACTAATCTTCAACAAAGCAGGAAATAATATCCAATGGGAAAAGACTGTCTTTTCATGGAATCTTAGTCATCATCCTAAAATCTGTTGGCACAAAAATTTGTAGGACTTGGCACAGATAGTTTGGTAAACATATGCTAAATAACAATAATAATTGTAACAACAGCAACTAGAAGAACAAATACAAACCTGACTACTTATCAGGTTCCAGGGACCTTTCTCAATATTTACCTCATTAAAGCCTCATAAAAATGCTAATAAGATAGATGCCTATTATTATTCCTGTGTTACAGGTAAAAAAACATAGTGAATTACTTAATTATTACTTATCGCTAAATATTTATCCTTTTATTATTAAATAATTGTTATTTATCTTTTAAGTTTTCACTAATAGTTAAGTTTTTTTTTTATTGGCACTTAGAGTTCTGGTACTGTTTTTGGTGTGTGAGAGTTTTTCCCCACACCAGCCAGTTCTCCAACACCAGCAGGATATCCTACAATTCAACTCAACTGTCACACTGTCTGCCTGGAGGTAGCATCAGATTCCACAGGTTAAGGGATCAGTTCTACAAGACTGCTTCTGTCTTGTAGACTTATCATTTGTGCTTCTGACCCACCAGTTACAAAGTGGAGGTTCCAAGGACCCCTCCTTATGTTTGATTAATTTACTAGAGCAGAACACAGAGACACATTTTACTCACAAGATTCTTGGTTTATTATAAAAGGGATATAACTCAGGAAGATGGAAAAGATACATAGAACAAGATATGAGGGAAGGGACATGGGCTTCCATGCTCTCTCTCTGGGCACCACTTTCCCAGTACCTCCACATATTCACCAGTCCTGAAGCTCTTCCAAACCCTGTCCTTTGCAGTTTTTATGGAGGTTTCATTACAGAAGCATGATTGATTAAATCCAGTGGCTCTCGGTGATCGAACTCCATCTCTAGCTCCTCTCCACTGCCCTAGAGGTCAGGGGGACTGAAAGTTCCAACCCTCTAATCACATAGTTGGCTCTAGGGGCAACCTGCTCCCATCCTTAGGTGCTTTCCAAAGGTTACTCATTAACATAACAAAAGACACTTTTATTGCTCTCTTCACAGGGAATTCCAAGGGTTTTAGGAGCTACTTGCCTGCAGAAGGGACAAAGATCAATATGTATTTCTTATTATAAATCACAATATCACAGCACCCTCGCTCGATCTAAATGTCTGGGAGACATATTTACTATGCAAGAAACGCTAAGGATGAGAGACTCTTAACTACAGGAAACAAACTGAGGGGTGCTGGAGGGGAGGTGGTGGGGGGGATGTAGTAACTGGGTAACAGGCATTAGGGAGGGCACATGATGTGATGGGCACTGGGTGTTATATGCAACTGAGGAATTATTGAATTCTACATCTGAAACTAATGATGTACTATATGTTGGCTAATTAAATTTAAATAAACATTTTTTTTTAAAAGAAAAGAAACACTAAGCAAAGAGTGGAAATCCTACACATACAACTAGAGTGGGAATGACTGCATTATTCTCACCTGCTCTGTTGGCTGACTGTATTTTGCTTGGGTCTGACTTAGTTGCAAGTGCAGATTCTAATGTCTATATTGATCTCACTTAGCTCTCTACCAGAGTGCTATATAATTTCACTTGTAAATCAATGTTAAATTGTCATCTTTGGGTACAGTCTTAAAATAACAACAGACTTCCAAGGTAGATGCTGGTGCTTCTTAAGCAGATTTGTGTTTTCTGATTTTCATGGGTTGCCATCCCCTATGGTGGTGAGTAAATGTTTACAGACTGTTTTGCAAGTTCTATTTTGTCATCAATTTTCTTGAGAAACAAATTCAGTTTTAATATTTTATTACACTTGCACTTCCATTTTTTAACTTAACTGCTACTGATGGATTTAGTACAAAATAAGAAAGTATTGCCAAACAATAAAATAGTTGTAGACTACTGCCATACTGTAAATAACAAAACCACTATAACAAGAGAACTCAGACTGCTCTTTCTACTCTATGACAAGACTATCAGGCCTATATTTCTTGCACATATTTCAGATTCACCTACTTAATAATTTTCCATGTTTCTACTGACCTCACTCAAGATGACTTTCTGTCATTTTCTAGTAGTCTTGAGCATCTCTTAATTCATGGCAAAGGGCACTGGGGTCTATCAACAAACACCTTGTATGCTGTCCTAGGAAAAGGGAGTGTTAGTCACATTGTACCAAGGACGCTCAGGAAAAGAGAGATAGGTCATCACTAGTGTCTTTTAGATTTTAATATGTATTAAGGTGAGGACTCTGTTTTTTAACTATATTTCTCACATATTACTAAATGAGAAAAATCTAGGAATAAGAAGTGGAGGTCTACCAAACTCATCCTAGCTTACTTTAATAAAATAACTAAGTGTCATTGAAAAAAAAAATCTGGAATAAATACTAACCCAGACCGGATGCTGGAACAACAGGTGTCAACTGGGATTATTCTGTGCAACCCAGGTGAATAGTCAGATTCCCTTTAAAGCCCCTTACAATCCCAAGTGATTCCAACATGATGCTAAATGAGTGAGACAACTGCTCATCTCCCTGTAATTTCAAGACCTGATGTTTAGAGTGGTTGAGTCCTGAAATGACTGGAGTCTTCCTCATTGATAGTCAACTTCCATTTGTTCTTTTAATATTTATTAAGCACCTGATAAATAAGAGATTACTGAACTAATTCCTTGCCTTCAAGGAACTCACAGTACAGCAGGAGAATCAGGAAAAAAGCCAACAATTAGAGTACTGCTCACTGTTCTGCCCTGTCACCACTTATTAGTAGGTTGTCCTCCCCATATATTTACACTGGCAGAGTGTTTCTCTCTCATTACTTCTGATATATGAAGGACCCAGCCTAGTACCTGGTGTCACTTTAAGAATTGAATGAAGTGCTACATTAGAGGTAAACCTGGGTGACTTGGCATTACAGAGGATAGGCATAAATGAGATAGGAGCTCGGAGATGGCTACTCAAGTAAGGAACAAATGAGCTGAACTCGAAGGGCAAGGAGGACTCAGCAAGTTGGGAAGGGCAGGAAGGTGCCTTCCACACAGGGCGAATGATGTGTGTGAATGCACAGACACAAGAAACAGCAGATGCTTGGGGAAGTTATTCTGAATAACGTGGCAACAAGGTGGTGGCATGGCAGGAAATGAGGCTGTGGGTGGGGCTGGCTAAAGCTCGGGAATCTGGATCAACTGTAGTCATGAGGAAATCACAGTTGTTGTGGGATGCCACTCAGATTTAAATTGCTTTTCTGAGGATCTGAAGCTCCAGTTATACCCAAGAGTCCCTGGTCCTAAAGAATAGTGATGTAATCAAGAGAGGAATCCAGAATCAACTTGGCTATTAACTCTTGGAAAGAAAGGGATCAGCCCCTTCTCAAGTCCAATGGTAGCAGACCTTTTACAGGAGTCCAAAGGCTCATTCATCTCAGCGCTCCTGTTACTTTTGGGTCAGCAGTGGTGGAGAGCCTGCTTTCAAGTACTCAACTTATCCCTGTAAAGAAGTAAATAATTGAAGTAATTAACTACTTAAATCAAAAAGTAATAAAAATGGGTCTGAACTCTTTAGATTTGCTTTTCCAACATATTCCCTGCAAATTGCCTTGACTTTCCAGTTTGAGCATTTCCATCCCTCCCAAGGAAGAACGTTTGGCAGGCTGGGAACAACTAGCTTCACTGGTGATTGCAAGCAGTGGGAATTTCTTATGACTTCGTGTGAAAGAGTATATCGGTGTGGAAGAGATGGGGAGGAGGTAGCATAACAC